CGGGTAGCTGCCCGCTGACCCTGCCCGTCGCGCGGTCCTCCTTCCAGCTCTTGCCGAGGCCGTTCCCTCCCAGTACGCCTGGAAAACGCACGATGGGGAGGCGGTCACGACGTCGCAGTGGGCCGGGCCCCTCTTCCCCAGGAGGCGCCCTGTTCCCGGGACGGCGGTGATTGTGTGTCTGTCGAAATCTGGGTCTGCCCCGTAGGGACTCAGCTGAGCTCTGGCGCGAAACTTGAGATCTGGGTGCTGTCCCCGCATTCACAGTGCCTGGGATTGTTCCCGGGGCCCTTTCTGTGTGACCCTCGTAAGCCACTTAACCGCCTCTCTGGGCCCCGAGTCCCACCGTCTGTTTGCTGGTGTCAGCTCTGTGCCTCCTGGTACTTGCTGGAACAGGACTACTGCAGGGAAAGCCCACCCGAGGAGCAGGTATTCATTCCAACACCCTCTCCGGCCACGGGCTGTGGGCACTCCCTTCTCCAGGGCCAACGTCCACAGACAGGGTGAGGAAGGACGTCCCACAGGTGGCTGGCAGCTGAACAGAGTGCAAGGCTTCTTCAGGGAAGCTTGGTCTCCACTTACTAGGCCTCACGTGATGGTGGCATGGTGAGTCTGGCCTGACACCAGTTCCCAGCCAGCAAGCAGAAGGCCTGTGGTCTCAGGGGTGGGGACCCACAGCCTCCTGTCCCACATCTCACAAGCTGCAGCTCCAGTACCTTCAGGGACTCCGACCTCACACCATTCAGATGAGCACTGCACTCTCTATGATTTTAGGTGCGTGTTGAGTGCTCTACCTTGCACCTGGCCCTGGCCTCAATACAGGTGCACTAATGGTGGGCCAGACACGCTCTCGACCCCCAGTGGACAGTCCAGAGCAGGGGTCGCTTCCTGAAACTATGCTAGCACCACCCCAGGCTGGTTATACACAAACTGGGCTTCTGATTCTGACTGTGCATCAGACAGGACCTGAGCTTGTCTAACAACCCCCCAGGTAATGAGGCTGATACTGGTCTCAGACCTCATTCTCAGAACCACTGGCCTACAGGAAGGAAACAGACTGTACTGCCGGACCCCCACAGACCCCAACAGGGAAGGCACTATGTCTGAGAGGCCGAAGAAATGACCTGGAGGCAACCGATGAGACATGGGCTTTATTCAGGAACCTACTTACCAAGAAGGTGGTCCAGGAGGGGCTGACTGGACTGGGAATAAACCACTCCCAATTGGAAATGGCACACAGGTCATATGGCAGCTTACATAGGGTGTGTGAAAGACAATAAATGATTTATTTTCATAAAATGGAAAGAAGTCTGCTAACGTGACCAAGAGCACGTACTAGGAAGCAGACGTGACCAAAAGCTCATTAGAAAGGGAGGTGTGATCTTAGGAAAAATAAAACTTAAAAATAAGGTAGCTGAAGCCCTCCGACCAATAGGAACAGATACTTATTTTAACCTTATTTGAACCAAAACCCCTTAGGAGACATCCTGGAGAGATTGTGACCCTGCAGTCCTCAGCTAATGAGGAACCGGGGGAGGGACTTGCATATTAGAAAATAAATTGGTTATTGTAATTGCTCTGGGTGTGCCTGCCCACCAGACACCTGATCTTGCAAGACTGTCGTTAGAGTCTCACTTCAGCTGTCCTCCACATCTCTGTCCATCCTTTGATTTCGGACGGGTGAGTTTGTTTCTCACAGGTGGAATGCAGGGTTAATGTGAAAAGGGTGGAGTTTCTAGTGCGCAGGCGTAGTGTGAGAACTTGCTTATACATCCATCTCGTGCCCACGACATGGCTGTGATTCCTCTTGAGGAGTGGGGCTTTCTTGTATTACAAATAAAAGTTAACTGGGCTAGGTACGGTGGCTCACACCTGTAATCCCAGCACTTTGTGAGACGGAGGTGAGAGGACTGCCTGAGTCCGGGAATTTGAGACCAGCCTGGGCAATATGGCGAGATGTCATCCTACAATAAGTAAAAGAAATTAGCCAGGCGTGGTGGCATGCACCTATAGTTCCAGCTATTTGGAAGGCTGAGGCGGAAGGATCGCCAGAGCCCAGCGGGTCGAGGCTGCGGTGGCCGGGAGCATGCCTCTGCACTCCAGTCTGGGTGACAGAGTGAGACTCTGACCCAAAAAATAAATACATAATTCAAAATTAATCATGATTTTTGGAACCCTGAAAGTTCTGCTGAGCCATGGAGAAAATGAGCTGGGGTGCTCTGAGCCATGCAGCCGCAGCTTCTTCTCAGGTCACAGATGACCTCTCCTTCTCATCGTTCCTGTTCTGTAAATTGACTGAGGAAGCCTGAGCGGCCCCAAGGAGGAAGCTCCTCCTCTCCTGACTGCTAACTTTTTCTCCTTTATGACCTGACTCAGACCAGGTGGTGCAAAGACCCCATGGCTGCTGCATCCTCCCTGTGGAATGTTAAGTAAACCTTTCCCAAAAGGTCACCACCTCGACTAATCACATTACATAGCTATGTGCTGGCCCTGAGTGAGCAGTGTTGGAACCCTGTCAAGCCTCCCACTGACCCCAGGCTTCCCTCTTCAGAACAGTGACTTCCATTCCTTGGAATCTGTGTTCCTGGGTACCATCCTCAAACTCTGTGCGAAAATAAACTGCACACTTAGCCATCTTTCCTGAATCCCTTTATTTAAGTTCATTGGAGTGACCCAGTGGGACCTGATGCGGAGCTCCAGTGATCCCCTCCCGTCATGACAGTGGGATCCCAGGCGCCAGCACCAGACCTCAGTGGAGCCACCAGATGTCACCTCCCAGGCAGGCTTTTCAAACTGATCTCTCCAAATCTATATGTAAATTCTGATTTATCGGTTTAATCATAACATCGCTGGATTCCACATTTATGGTGTCACAAGTTTGATGATTTCCAGCATGATGGGTCTCTTCAAAAAGAAGACTGCTACATGTGACTTAAAAAGCAAATTCCTGCCGGGCTCGGTGGCTCAGCCTGTAATCCCACGCCTTTGGGAGGCT